GAATTTTTCTTTTACTTTTCCAAGAGGGTAGTATTCTGGGGGAGAGATTTGGGAGGGGAGAAACGTGCAACAATGAATAAATGGAATTCCAAAGCCTCTGTAAATTTTTACTGAAATAATAAATTTAAAAAAAAAGAAATACTGTCTGTTAGACCTGTGTGGTCATGGATATAGTATCATTCACCTATGCATACCTGTTGATCTTGTTTGTCTGCCTATGTATCTAAGGATGGGATAATTAAATGTTTTAGTATTCACTAATGCTTCTTGCCTGAATCAGTTGTTACTATGATGACCAGTAAATTATTTTCTAATTCCATTATCTTGCTGCCCTTAGTAGTTTGCACTGAATTATAAAAAAGAGTTTTCCCTTCTCACCCACTGTCTGTATTCATTTATATCAGCATGGATTCATAGATTGACATTTTAGTCCTTGAGTTAATACCTGTTATTGTCATTATTTATTTTGATGTTCAAATGCAGACTTCTGTGTACTTCTGACATCAGATTTTAGTATTTTACTGTACTTTCTTAACATCACAATGGTTTAGGAAAGATGAGCTATTTCTAAATTATATTGCTTGACTAACCAATAGATTGGATAAAGGACACTAGGAGTTTGAAAAAATAAGTAACCAGATAAGATCAGTATCTCTCTGTCATTGCCATAAAATCAGAACTGACCCCTTGCTGACCCTCTAGCGGGTTTCTGAGGCTGTAAATCTCACTGGAAGGTATTGCTCATTTTTCTCCTGAGAAACTGCTGCTAAGTTCAAACCACCAAAAGGCACAGCCTTTGAGTAATCAGTGCCAGTCTCTAAAGACTGTACCCTAGGAGCTACCTACCAGAAGAGATGGGCATTGCCAAACCAAAGGGAACCTTTACATCTCCAACTCACTTATCCCTCTCTTAACAATCTCACACTTTAAATCACGACAATTTCTTATAAAAATAGTTCTTTATCTGGCTTTTAAACAAAAGGTTTTTTCCAACTGCATAGAAAGAAATTCTTTACTATTTAGAAAAACAGTAAGAAGTGAACTTTTTTAATGGCTACTACACATTTCATGATAAATGTTGATAGTTGTAGAGGAGCTTCAGGCCTTTTGTTCATAGGGTCGCTATGAGTCGTGCTCGACTTGAAGGCAATCAACAACACATTTCATGTTTTAAGGTTTGTATGGCAATTCAGAAGAATATAAAAAACTTGTAATACAAGTATGTATTACTTAAGTTGTCAAAGAAATGTACTGTTAGATATCTTATAGGAATCATTCTCAGTATTCTTAATTTTGTCTGCTCTATCAGTTATATTCTATAAATCAAATAAGTTTTAGAAATGTAAAAATTTTATTGAAATATATCATTGATATCATACTATATATCATAATGACCTTAAGGATAACTTCATATTATCTTTAAACAAAGATGTTAAATTATTAAAAATAAGTCTCATGCTGTTGTGTGTGTTTTAAATAGCACAAAAAATTTTGAGTTCTTTCTGTCTCTAACTTAGCTTGTTTCTCAAAATCATTACGTTTTGGCATCACTAGACTTTTGATTTATAGGGTACTAAAAGAGTATGAGCTCTGGTGGTGTAGCCCATAGAGCATTGTGCTGCTAATTCAAAAGCTGAACCTCTCTGATAATTTGGATCCACTAGCCAATCTCTGAGAGAAAGATGAGTAATCTCTTGTGCAGTTTACTACTTCTAAAAACCCCTGAAGAGGCTTATGTGAGTCAGTTCCAGCACAATGGCAATGAGTGTTGAGGTAATCCTGCTTTTTATAGAGCCAATTCATGTTGTTGTTGATTGCCTTTGAGTCGAGCACGACTCACAGCAATCCTATGAACCAAAGGCCTGAAGCCCCTCTACAATTACCGACATGTATCAAAGTTGATAAAGTTTCCGGAGGCATATTGTTTAGGGAGTGGATGCCACTCCTGCTTCCAAACCTGTCTTGGTGTTTATTAAAATTCATTTAAACAGAAATTTTACTTAATAAAGATTATCTTTTGTGTAACTGGAAATGTGTTAACCATAAAATACTATTGTTAATGAGTTACTATCATAATATTTTATCACATTTTAATGTTTAACATAGGAAAGACATTCCCAACAGTAATAATGCTGATTAGCTGTGTAAAAGGCTACCTTAGAGGATAGGAGAGGCTACCTTATTAGAACTGAGCAAGCAAAATCTGGCGACCACCTAATGGTATAACTCTGGATGAGGTTCTTTTCCTGTGGAAGGTTGGATTTAAATTATCTGAGTTTACACATTATCTAAAAACTTACAGTATGTTGTTGTTGTTATGTGCCATCGAGTCGCTTGCGACTCATAGCGACCCTATGTACAAGAGCTCTAAATGCTGTTCTATCCTGTGCCAACCCAGCCATCTCAAACGCACTTATTCCCACCGCTCCAGTCACAGAATCGATCCATCTCACCAAAGGTCTTCCTCTCCTTCGTTTCCCCTCCACTCTGCCAAACATGATGTCCCTTTCCAAGGACCAGTCCCTCCTTGCAACATGCCCAAAATATGTCAGACGAAGCTTCAGAATCCTTGACTCCAGTATGAAATTTTGAAAATTACCATGAGGAAAAATGTTTACCATAAATCATAAGTTCTGGAATTTTCTTGAGTCATGTACTCTTTACATCTTAATATTTTTTTTTTTGTGCTTCCTTAGGCCAGAATAAGTAACTACAAGTTTCTTGCATAAAATGTTAACCAAAATCAAATCCACTAACATTAAGTCACATGACTCATAGCAATCTTTGATAGAGTTTCCAACACTATAATTATCAATGAAAGAGACTGCCTGTCTTTCTTCATTGGAGTAGCTGGTATACTCAAACCACCTACCTTTCAGTTAATAGCCCAACCTATTACCAATACACCACCAGATTTCCTATGAATAGTTAGGGTAAAAAACCTTACTGGCCTTCCACTCAAGATTGGGGCCTGTGACTATAAACTAAATTGTGTGCCCTCTGAATATGACTTTTGAGATTTGTATGCATGTAAACACAGATTGGAAGGAAACACTCAAACCACAGCTATGTCTGGGTAGTATTTTTCCTTATAAAATATGATTCCTTTGCAATATGTTGCAATATTAAAGTGCTTTCAAGGTGCTTCTACTTTCTATAGGAAAGATCTATACATATAATGACAGCTCTGATGGCATCATACTTGACACACCATTGGTACAGTTTACAGCATCACAGCAACCCACACTTTACACCAGTGCAGCAGACTGACAGACAAGTGTCACACCAACAAGAGCAAACAACAAACAAGCAAGTATGTAAATATTCGATAGAGTAATAAGCACCATGCAGAGCAATTCCCGATATAATGAACTGACATGACAGATGTACTTCTAACAGCAAACCATAAAGACAATCAGGAACACAAATAACAGGGCACAGGGCACCCTTTTCTGGCCCCAGCTGAGGCCCTTGGAGCAGTAGGATGGAGACCTGGACATGGGTATTTCTCTTCAGCAGTATGGATCACAACAAATTATGTCTAGCATTTAGAAGACTGAGAATCCCAGAATGCTTAATTGTGCTTTTGCCAAATCTGTGCTTAGACCTAGAAGCTGTTATCCAAATGGAACAAGGAAACACTATATGGTTTAAAATTGGGAAGAGTGTGTATCAGGGGTATATCCTTTCTCCATATCAATTCAGTCTTTATTCTGAGCAAATAATTCGTGAATCCAGATTGTATGAAGAAGAATGTGTCATCTGATCCAACGAAGACTCATCAACAACCTGTGCTGTGAAGATGACACAAACTTGCTTGCTGAAAGCGAGGAGAACATGAAACATTTGTTGCAAAAGATCAAAGATTACAACCTTCAATATGGATTTCATCTTAACATCAAGAAGACAAAATTTCTTACCACTGGGCCATTGGACAACATCATGATGGATAGAGAAAGGATGAAACTGTTAATGCTTTTTATCTTTCTTGGATCCCTTGGTACCAGCATTCAGGAGATAAGGAGACATACAGCACTGGGAAGGTCCACTGTCAGGGATCTCTCCAAAATACTGAAGAGCAGTGATAAAAGTTTGAAAACTGACACCTGATTTGCACCTGATTCATGCCATTGTCTTTTCAATTACTTGTAATTCTGAGAGCTAGACAGTGTATAAGGATGACAGAAGAATTGATGCCTTTCAGTTGTGGTGTTAGAGAAGAGTAATGAACATCCCATGGACTGCCAAAAGAATGAACAGGTATGTTTTATAAAAATTGCAGCTGTAGTGCTCCGTGGAGCCAAAGATGACAAAGCTTCATTTCTCACACTGTGGATATGTAGCTAGGAGAGGCTATTCCATGGATAGCATGTTTGAAAGTATGGAGGGTCCGTGAAATTTAGGAAGACCGTTTATCGGTACAGATTGACACAGTGACTGCAGCAGTCAAGTGTATCACAGATAATGAGGATGGTATAGGACAGGATTCAGGACTGTTGTTCATAGGGTTGCTATAAACTGGACTCTATTCAATAGCATCTAACAAGAACAACTGGTGGTGTCATCCATAGGAGATGGGAAATCTCTTTCTGTGCTATTTACAGTCTCAGAAACCCAATTGAAGTTCTGCTTCAAGTCATTTCTGACTCAATAGATGTGAGTATACAGATAACAAGTTTCTGTTAAATCCTGGGGTAGTAATAATTCAGAAAATACTATCTCTAACGAATCTAGACTTTTGCACTTGAAATTAATGGTGTTTTCTATTTTAGGACCATAGAGTGTTTTGGCTGGTTACAGGAATTATGTTCATGGGAAGTGGCCTAATCTGGAGACGTTTGCTTTCATTCCTTGGGCGACAGCTAGAAGCTCCTTTGCCTCCTATGGTATGAAATATAAAATTCAAAGCATGTAGCAGAGGGGATTACAGTCATGGGCTCTGAAATAAGACAGTGAGTTCAGTTTCTTCCTTTATCAGTTAAGTCAGCCCCATCTGTCTCAGGTGAGATTGCATTATTTCATTAAATTATTCCATTATTTAGTTGAAATTCTATGTGTATTTAGCCCAATGCTTAACAGAATAATTAAGTTTAAAATATAGCTTATTTCATGTAACACTTGCAGATATCGTACATTTAGACAAATATTAATAATTCAGTGCAAGGTTTTGTCTAACCAGAATTGAAGAGAAAACATTTATATGACTTATTATTTAGAAAAGGTACACAGCTTAACCCTTCTTGTCTTTGTGTACTTACAGATGTAGACCACTGATCTTAAGAGACTGATCTGTGGTGTGTAGTCCTTTCTTTATTTCTCTCATTCAGCCATTGCTTTGGAGTCAGGATGAACTCCTAGCTGACCCTCTAGCGAGTTTCCAAGGCTGTAAATCTCATGGGAGGCGATTACCCATCTTAGTCCAGCAGAGGGGCACCACCTTTGGGTTAGCAGCACAACTTCCCGTGGGTTGTTCCTCATTTAGTAATTCTATAATCATCCTTTACTAGGCATTGCTCTTTTAAAATATACACAGTTAATTTTCCTGTTTTATTTAGGTGACCTCTTTACCTAAAAAGACACTTCAGACAAACAGACAAATGGAAGTGAAAACCAGTCTCAGGCCAGATGGACTTGGATCGAGTGGGAACCTCCTAACAAACCGTTAGGAACACCGGGGCAAGATTGAGTATTTTTTATGGGAGTCACAAGAAACTTGTGCTACTCTTTTCTTTTACTATTTTATTTTTTTTTAAATAGGAAAACGTGAAGAAAAAAAACATTGATATTGAAATGTCACTGTCTGAGGGGAAACATTCTAGGGGCAGTCACTGGCAGGCTTTCTTTATAGAAGGTCAAAGTTCCATCTCTTACAAATGTTTTCATAGACATGAGATGTGAGGCATGGATAAGATAAGAAGAAACTATTTAATTTATTGTTGTTGTTGTTAGGTGCTATTGAGTCATGTATGACTCATAGCAACCCTGTGGACAAAAAGATCCGAATTCTGTTCTATCCTATGGCATCCTCCCACTATGGCATCCTCACACTTCCTGACACACAAGAGAGCCCATTGAGGCAGTCACTGTTTCGGTCCACCTGGTGGAGGGTCTTCCTCTCCTTCACCAACCCTCCCCTCTTCCTAGCATCATGTCCTTCCCCAAGGAATAATCTCTCCCAGCAACGTGCCCAAATCATGTTAGGCAAAGCCTCATCATTCTTGCCTCCAAAAAGCACTCTGGCTGCACCCTCTCCTCTTTAAGACATATTAAAAGTGCTCTTGTATGACAAGTGAAGCCTATAAACTTAACAAACCCATAGTTGTTTTTTCTGGGTTTTTTTGTTTTTGTTTTGGGTTTGTTTGGGTGGGTTGTTTTTTTCTTCTTCTTTTTAACAAGCCCACAGTTATAGTCAAAGTTCTTAGTACAGAAGATCATAGTCCTGTAAATTTTCTTTCACTCAAATGACTGAAAGCTAATAGAATATGTTTTAATCATAAAACGAACTCTGGAAGTTTGTGGTTAAAACTAATCCTGGGTATAACTATATTTTCTTGTATTTGCCCCCTTTTTAATAGAAGGAGAATTAAAAGGAGAAAACTGCTTTTCTTTGCTTGGCTATAATGAAAGCCTTTGGTAAAGGTGAAAGCAAGTATTTCTGTTCTTTTACTGTTTTATAGGTCTTTTGTTCATTATCTGGTTTTTAGTGAATGCTATGCCTCCACATGCCTCAAAGGAAAATTGTATGTAAAACAGTTGAACTCTGTCTATACCCTAATATTAACAGATGGGAATCCTAAAACAAGAAGATAGATAAATTTTATAATTGTAATACCTTTTCATTTTCACAATAGCTGATACTTATCAGTCTGAAAAATGCTTCCTTTATATTTCAGGGAGATTGCATACATTATGCAATACAACTCTGCAGTAAACTTACCTCCAAAAGTAGCTTATCTGGAAAGTTCCAGAATGCCCCCAAGAATTCAGGGAAGCTCTTGACTGCAAATGTATGGGTAATTGAATAAATATATCTAGCCTGATGATGTTACTCTAAAATTATGTTATATGAGGAAGCTGAGGCGTCCATTCACCAGGTGGTTTAAACATAGAAGGAGTAAACATGCTATTCCAGTATTTGAAAGAAAACATGCATTGTAAGTAAGATTTGCCCTACTCCTATGTAGGTTATCAGAAGACATTAGAAGGAATAAAAACAGGCTAGGCTTGTCTTGGAACACAGTGGTGCACTTGGCACCTGAGTGTGTGTCTGGCATGTAATTTATGGTGTGCTTGCTGGAATGTGGGCATACAGCACTCTGTAGCATTATGATCTTGACAATTTTCATGCCCTTCTTTGAGAACACTTAGATATCACAGGGCACTCGGACACTCCTTAAAGCACTTTCCTGCTAATTTTTGTCTATGTTATCACTAAAACAGGTAATATTATTTCACTGTGATATAAAGAAATTAGCAGGCCGGAGAGTAAAATCTGATGAAACTAAGAATTTTGATAGTTGGTTTTTTGTTTTTTTTTTCTTGTCTTGTCATTGCTCAGTTTATGAGCTGAGTTTAAAAAAAAATTGTCATGTCCCATTACTCTAAGGTAAAAATGTAACTACCTCATAAATGTGATAAAGAGCATGTCAATAGCCAATAATATTCTTGAGAGTGGGTTAGATCAAGTAGGATTTCAAATGTTGGCTACCTCTGTCTTGGCAATTCCAGGATGCTTCTTGTGTGAAAGATCTCTTAAATAGTAATGCAGCCTATGCCAAAAAGTGAATTTCAGTGGTTTTAAATTTTGAATTAAAATTGACTGAGTATATTAACTACTACTTCAAAGATAATAGAGTAAGTAACATTTAGTTATGTGAATAAATATCACCTTAACATGTACAAGGATAAGGTACATCTTAACAGATGTCTTTTTCTTTAGAAGGCATCTAATAACGTGGCAAAATAGATGTCACTTAAGGATGTTAATAATGCTTGCTTTCCTCTTGGCAGTAATAGGTTTAACCAATTTACTTTAAAACCATTTCTTTTGCTGAGTTATTACAAAAATTGTATGGTTTCATATCCTGGAAAGAGCCCTAATGGCACCATTAAGGACTTGACTCCCACCTGAGAAGTTAGCATCTTGAACCCACTCCATGGGAGAAAAATATAGCAGTCTTCTCCTGCAAAACTACAGATTTGGCAAACCTCATGAGCAGTTCTAGTTGGTGTGAAGGGGTTGCCATGAGTCAGAATCTACAGTGCGTTGCATTTAGCTCTAGGTCTTCATTTTCTGGAATTACTGTTAATATCCAAAATACTGAACCTTGGGATTTCTTTTCATTGCTTTAATAGTACCTAATGGTAATATGTGGAGTAGGGAATTCAGAGATCAGAATTGTGATCCCAAGCTCACTCACTTCAGCACACTTTTTTTTTAGGGTTGTGACACAAATGGCATTAAATAATGCTGATCTACTATATACAGAGAGGAAGGTTAAAAGTGCAAATATGTAAATGTCTTATATCTTGAAATAAATACCATTTTGTGTCAACTGTTAGTTCAATTTTGTGTTAATGAGAAATCCGAATTCTGCAGGACATTCCATTTTAATTATTGTTAATCATTTCAGAATTGGTTCTTAGAATGTAGTAGTACATAGTCAAGTGAAGGTGTACTTACAGGAATAATATACTAGACTGTCATATTTTAATTTTTTCTGTATGTCAGGTTTCTACATATTTGCCAAGTACAATAAATAGTAGGAGATCCCACAAAACCATACTTTTTATTATGGGGTTTATTAAGGAAGTTAACAGGTTACAGTTCAGGTTAGTGACAGGATAAAATATCTTAGAACAATTTCTCAAACATGCTTACAGGCCCTTTGACCTTCAGCCTTGTGACTTAGGTCAGTGTTAACAACACTTTCTTAGTCCTGCTAATTATTGTCTTCCCCCAAGTCTCTGAGAAAGCTTGGGTAAAGTTAACTCTGTCTCACATTGGTCTCTGGTTCTTCACTGCAGCTGCTTTTTCCCCCCATCTAACTGGTACAGGAATCTCAGACCCCTGAAAGATGTGCCCTGCAGTCCGTTTCCTCCTTGCTGGGAGAGTCAGTCCCATCTTCTGCTTCTAAAGCTGATGGGATTGGAAAACTGACCAATCTCATCTCGAGTTGTTAATATACACCTTGTTTCATGTTCTCACCCTGCCATGTGGTGAAATTTAAAGTTGATAACTAGGGAAGCTGTTTTGAAAAATAAACCCGTCACACCACACTGTCTAATATGTGTAGACATTGAAAAATTCTCAGGTAGTTATCATGTTTAAACATAGGCCACATTATTTGGTGAGAACAACAAATACACAGTATGAAAATATGAGGCAAAGAGTTTTTAAGCTTATCTCATATTTGGGGCATGTTGCCTTGGAGAAAGATACCATGCTTGGAAAGGTGGAGGGTACAATGCAGGAGAGGAAGACCCTGGATGAGATTGACACAGTAACTGGGGCAGTGGAGGCAGGTGTGTCAGAGATGTTGAGATTGGCTCAGGAATGGACAGGGTCCAGAGGTACTGTGCGTAGGTTCGCTGTGAGTTGCATATCAACACAAAGTAAGGTTTTGGTATCTGAAAGAACTTATGCCAATGTCATCAGTTTGTTTTACTCTCAGACTTCTTATGTGAATACAGTTAAGTAAGTTCTGGTCTCCTAAAAATAAATTTCATTTTAATGAACATAATTCTTCAAATAAGTTGAGCTGCACAAATGAAACCAAATGGTGTTTGTATATCCTTTTTACTGTGCCATTTTAAGGGGGGGGGGTGAGACAGTACATGTGATAGGTTCTTTTCATCTATATTATTTGATTTCTCAGCTATTCTTTTTCTTGTCCCCTTTTACCACTCTCTGCCTGTAGAAAAGTTGAGACAAGAGCCCTTGTCATTTATTATTTTCTCCTTTTAGTATAATTTTCCCTAGTGTCAAAAGTGCTTCACTAATAAGTACAACATCAATTAACTACTGTACTTTTCCAATTCATTGTTCCTGATAGCTGCAGATAGGGCAAACTTTTGCTGTATTTATATAAAGTATTAGTAAAGTTGAAAACTCATAACTGGACCAATTATAGAAGAAGAAAAAACTGGTTGTCAACAATTTCATTTTATTTAGAATCACAATCAACATCCGTGGTAATAGCAATTGACAAATCAAAAGACATGTTGACATTGGGAAAATCTGGTATCTTCAAAGAGCTAAAAAGCAAGAATATCAGTTTAAAGACTTAAGGTGTACCTGATTCAAGCCATTGTGTTTTCAGTTACTTGCTATACATCTGAAAGTTGAACAGTGAATACAGAAGGACAAAGAATAAATGACACCATTGTAGTATTGGTGGAGACTGCTAAATGTACTATGGACTGCCAAAAGAACAAAGCTGCCTTGGAGAAAGTACATCTAGGCTGCTTCTTGAGGCAGGGATGATGAAACTTGGTCTCACTTAACTTGGACATGTTACCAGGAACACCAGTCCTAGACAGGAAAAACTGTGTCCTAGACAAGAAAAACTGTGTAAGTAATGAAAGTGAGGAAGGCCCTCAATGAGATGGATTGACATAATGCCCTAGTGAGCTTGAATGTGCAGAAGAAATCATGTAGATGATGCAGAATAGGGCAAGGTTTGAATCTTTTTCATAGGGTTGCTGTGAGCTGTAGTGGACTTGATAGCGCCTAACAACAAAACATGCCACACTGCAGAAGTGCCAATGAAATCCACCCAGTAAGGCAACCCAAGAACAAGTGAGATCAAATCCAGCTTCACTCCTATAGGTCTCTTACATAGTCAGCCTCTTTTAATTCCTCTGCTGTATAAGTGGCAACCTAATACAACAAATAGCATTCTGGTGACAGAGTTCATAGCAAGTTGCACTGCTAACTCAAAAGTCATGCCTCTGGCAGTTCTAATCCACCAGCAGCTCCTCAAAAGAAAGATGGACAATATCCTGTGGCAATTTACAGAGTCAGAAACCAAATAAAGGGTCCCTAGCATTGTAGATGGTTCAAATCCACCAGCTGCTCCACAGGAAAAAACGAGTAATCTCCCAAGCAATTAACTGCCTCTGAAAACTCACCAGCGGGTCAGCTATGGGTCAGTTCTGACTTGAAGGTGCACAACAACAGCATAAGACAGTACTAACTGGACAGCAGTGACTTTTGAGTTGAAAGCAACAAAGACCTTTCTTAGTATGACATAAAGCTAATAAAAAGTCACTATAGTCTAGCTTGATAGCCTTTTAGAATAGCATCAGAAAGCAGAAAAAAGCTTTATTCATATATCCTTCATATGTAAAACATGGAAAGTGCTATCACCATCATTCAGAACAAATGAACAAATTATGTGGAGCTGTAAGAATATTACTACTGTGCATTCTCACTATTATTTCTCCTCCTCATTATTTCTGCATACAATCCTTTCTATTACATTTTGGGATGGATCAGCAATTTTTTTTAAAAAAAATGTGATTTTAGGAGGACTTCAGGAATATACATACTTTCTAAGAGATAATGAGACCTTTACAGGCATTGAAAAGGCAGGATAGACATTTGTGTGGAAGAGGAAATTGGTCATACATTAGGTTTGGGGACTGAAAATATGTCAGTTATGGGAGGAAAGCTTTGAAAGAGGATGTGCGTCATCAGGGTCTCCTGACTTAATTTGCTGTCAAATTTCCTGATTGCTTTGCTGTAGTATGCCTACTCCCAGAAGTCTGACCTCTACTAGCTCTATTTGGGTCTGCCGTCTCTGCTGGGTGTGCTTATTTGTCCACCAGAACTCTCAGTCCAGAAAGAATTCAACATGGTGTGGTGGGAAGGGGAGAAATTAGGAAAATTGAGCAAAATCTTCAATCTGAGCCAAGGTTATAGATGTGAAGTGCTCCAGAAAGTCGGGCTCCCAGAGAACTCCTTCCAGCAGCAATGACAACTTGGTTCTGTCAGGGAACATAATTCAGACATCATTCAGTATTCATTTGAACATCTGGGAACTTCCTGCTAGTAGTACAGGTGTCATGCACACTAGACATATTAAATGAATAAGATAATCAATCATGGATTGAATTTAAATGCTTCATTCTTTTGTTGGAATATCATCTTCTCAGACCTAAGGATTCAGAAAACAGCAGTTGAGAGATAACATTCTAGACCCTTTTCTGGCACATAGAAGAGATGTACATCACCCCAAAATTCTAGTTGTGTAATGTGGATGGCATTTCTGGAATAATGAAGACTTCTACACTGGCTGGTTTTCTCAGTGGTGCTTATCACCATTTACTGTCCTTGAAACATTGTAAGCGCCATCGCTCCCAATTGCCTGCAAAAATGGCTTCAAGTTTTAGGCATTTCAGTGACAGCAAATCAGACTTTGAGGTTGGACTTTAATTTTTTAAAAACTGACAGACATTATTCTCAACCAATGCCAGCAAATGAAATATAGGCAATAAACCTGCTTTTCTCAGAAACAGAAAGCAACCAACTTTCTGAGACATTAGTCTCGTTGATTTAATTTTTTATCAGCTTGAGAATCCCAATACTGGTTTTTGCTTGCTGAGTTTTTAACCGTGTGTCAGATGCTATGCTCAGCCCTTTGCTGTATCATCTCTTTTAATGCACAGAAATCTAAACTTTTCCTTTTTTTTAAGAGACAAACAGCACTTTAAATACCTTCTCTTATTTATACAATTGTTCACTTAGTAAATTCACATGGAGTTTGGCCATGAGCTAGTTCCTCCTTCCCACTTTAGGTGAACCACCATTATTCCTAAAATGACACCCTCCCTCACTACTCCCCCTCCTCAGGCTCCTCCCTCACTTCTCTCCCTACTCCCTGCTACCTCATCTCCAAGTCCAGCCCAGCCCCCATTACTCCCCAGACTTCCCTGACCAGACTTGGTAGCAGTTGCTTCTGTCCTCTCGACTTTTGGTCATCATATATTGATTGAGTGGATGGTCTATAGGCATGAGGGGAAGAGGTCATATTTTGGGTGGTGACACCTCTGATGTCCAGTGTAACAGACATTACTGCTCTTGAAGGTCACAGGCTGGCTCTAAGAAGCCCCACAAGAGGTAGCATCACCCCAGGAAGTGCCAAGTCCAAATTCTAGTTTAATTGTTAACAATTTCATTACTTAATGTTCATATGCCCCGAAAGGAAAAGGTGTTTTTTTAAACAATTTTTGCTCAAGTTCCAGGAAAGGCCACCCCCTGATTATTCACAGATACACCTTGTCTCTTTTTAAAATATAGAGTCTGACTTATCTTTGCATTCAGTTCTTCAGGGTCCCTTTCTCAGGTGTGTGCTGGGAAAGTAAAGCCATTTCAACAAAGGCCCAAGTGTACTAACAGTAGGAAGGTAAACTTGCAGAGTTGTACAAAGGGAATCAAAACATTCAAATTAGATGAGCTACACCTCTACGAGCACCAATTGGCCTTGATGAAGTTGATACATGTATGATTTATTTAAAGAATACACAAGTTCTAGATAATTTTTGGAATAAGAGCAAATTTTACATAAAAAGCCTACCTCAGGATATAAAGCATTGTTACTATAACTTTTGAGAATTCAATTAATAGTTCATTTTTGTCTAGGTTGGGAGCCCTGCTTTTGCAGTAGTTAGATGCTCTATTGCTAATTAAAAGATGATGTTGTTACATACTGTCAAATCAGAACTGATTCACCCCTGGCCCTCCACTGGGTTTTCTGTAAGTCATTTATAAGGAGATTGCCCATCTTTCTCCCAAACTCAGCTGAACTCCATGAGGAAAGACGTAGGCAGTCAGCTTCTGAAAATATTTATAGCCTTGGAATTCCTATAGGGCAGTTTTATTCTATCCTATAGTATCGCGATGGGAAAGTCTGCTGTTAGGGACCTCTCTAATGTACTCAGGAGCAACGGTGTCTCTCTGGAGACTAAGGTGCGCCTGATACAGGCCATGGTCTTTGCAATCGCTTGTTATGCATCAGAGAGTTGGACAATGACTAGGGAGGACAGAAGGAGAGTTGATGCTTTTGAGCTGTGGTGCTGGAGAAGAGTACTGAATGTACCATGGACTGCCAGGAAAACAGATGCATCTTGGAGAGGACCAAACCAAGCTACTCCTTGGAGGCAAGGAGTCTGGGGCTTCATCTGACATACTTTGGACATGTTGCCAGGAGGGACGGGTCCTTGGAGAGGGACATCATGCTTGGGAGGGTGGAGGGACAGCGCAGGAGGGGAAGACCCTCTATGAGATGGATTGATTCGGTGACTGGGGTAATCGGGATGGATGTGTCAGAGGCAGTGCGGTTGGCGCAGGATAGAGCAGGGTTTAGGGCTATTGTGCATAGGGTCGCTATGAGTCGCAAACGACTCGACGGCACATAACAACAACAACAATAGGATAACATGAGTTAAAATTTACTACAGCAATGTATTCTTTTTAAAGCATAACAGTGTATGTTTCTTTTATTCCATGTATCAGCACTGATGCACTCCTAGATCATGACCCTGAAAAAGTTATTTAACTTGCAACTTAACTCCATGACTCAATCTCCTTTATAGAAAAAAATATTATATTAGCATATTATTATATGTTTATATTTTATATACTTCTTACAATACAGAAGGCAATTTTTTAAATGTTTATTCTTACCAGAAAGAAAATAGCGTAATTTTTTTCCCGAGAAAACAGAACTAATATCAAAACTTGAGAGGCAGTAAGTGGTGTCGTATGTCAGAACTATTTACATCCAGTACAGATGGATTGAGGCTGTAAACTAGACACAGCATCATTAATGACACTGATAACAATATAGCTGCGAGAACTACATATTAGGACTGCATTAAAGCCAATATATAAATTAATGGAAATCCAAAATCTCTGTAAATGTTCATTAAAATTAATAAAATTTAAAAAGCCAATATATAAAAATATGAGTTATAATAGCATAGAGACTTGAAAAATAAATATTTGGAATTTTAAAAAGAATTGCCTTGATTTGTGTGTGTGTGTTTTATGGGTGGTTAAACGAAAATTTTTGCTGTCAAAAATAATGGCTTAAAGCAAAAGTCACTTAAAATTTTAGCCACTAGAGGGCAGTTTCACCGCACTTCAGAAACTAGAACTCAGCCCATAGCTCTTGACGTTTTTTAAAATGCAGGCCTTCATTAACAAATAATACATGAGGTTCATTGCTGGGAATTGAACCAAGGTCTCTCACATAAAAGGCAAAAAGTTTACCACTGAACCATGATTGCACTCTATGATTTACTATTCTAAATATGTGAAGGCTTCACCAGCCCTTCATATCCAGTTCATCCTTTCCAAAACTATTTAGCATTTCATCTGCTTTGCATTTTATTTAATTCTCCATGTGTATAAGTATTTCATGTCCCTCAAGAATAGGGTTTTTGCTTTTTGTTTCTTCATGTCTCTTAAGATTATCACAGCTCTCTGCAATGCCGTAAAGTAAATGAATGGTTTATGGTTTCATTTAAAATGGAATTAGTGTGCAGGCATACTTTAAGATACTTCAGTTTTTTATACTTATAAAAGTTTAAAATACCTACTTCCTTTGATCCAACAATCTTACTTCTAGACATACAACCTACAGGGATATCTACATAAATATATAGAGAACTAAGAATTTTCACTATACCATTTTAATAGTATTTTCAACAAAGTATAACCTAAATATCTATGAGAGTGTGAGCCAGTAAAAGAAAATGTAGTACATCCAGACATTAAAATATTATACAGATATTTAAAAAGAATCGGAGAGGTTTACCTGTATTTATTTTGTAAAGAAACAAAAATAGTACAGTAAAATGAAATGATGAGAAGTCAAACTATGTATGTATCTATTGTCATACAAAAACTCTGAAAGAAAAGTTTTTGATAAAACACACCATAATATCACCACTTCATTATTTTATAGATCAAATGTTGGCAAACTTTTTCTGTGAAAGGTTGAATATTTTAAACTTTGTCTCCAACACAACTGACTCTGATGTTGTGTCACATATCAGGTAGCCACAGATGAAGCCACATAAATGTGAACTACACATAAATTTCAGTGGTCACAAAGTAGTCTTCTGTTGGCTCAAATAATTAATATTTGAAAATGCAATCACTATCTTTAATTCTTGGGCTTTACAAAGACCACAAACTGGATTTGGACTGTGGACAATGGCTAGCCAACCTCTGCCATAGGGAATAAAATTGAAGAGTTAGTTAGAGAAAGGAACTTTTCACACACATAGAAAAATTTAAGTGATGGGTTTGCACTAGATTTATTGTATGTGTATATATTTCTAGATTTCAAATAAAAACAGTATCTAAAATGTAAACAAGGTACAGTTTTCACTGAGTCCCAGCCTGAGAACAACTGTAAACATCAAATGCACTCCTTCAACTCACCTTTCCCTTGGACATCACAGTGATCATAGCACTCCCAAACCTTGAACTTGCCTAGAAAACAAACATAGCATTTGTCAGTGACCTTTTGAGGACTTACTACAATTATTTATCACTTTAACATGACAAGAAAAGAAGGCATATTTTAAAGTCCTCCTCCTTGAATAGAGGATACTTACTTCAGGAGAAATCAATACATACTGGGCCTGAAAAATAAAGGAGAGAAAAAGAATGTTACTAGTATTTTCTGCAATCTCGAAGGCATGTGGTTTGAATCCACCAGCTGCTCTATGGGAAAAGAATGGGCAGTCTCCTCCCCTGCAATTAACTCCCTCTGGAAACCTGCTAGAGGGTCGGTTCTGACTTAAGGGTACACAACAACAACTAATGTCTTTTCCTACATTTCCAAAATAGCCATTAAAAATGCATGCCAGCTGTTCCCAGAAATGCTACTTGTAGGACTTTAGCTGTAGGGGAGTGGGGAAGGATGTCAGGGTATTATAAAAGTGTTTATATGTAAACACCATATCATTATTTGTTGTTATGCACTGATGAGTCAAAGCTGATCCTCTGGGTTTTCAGAGGCAGTAAATTGCACAGGAGCTCTTATGGAGCACCTGGTGGAACTGTGTCCATTTGGGTTAGCAATGCAACACCTTAGCCACTGTTAAAAGTGACCTAAGTGACCAGTAGTAGTTACTTACACAAGGGTTAAAACAGGGTATTTTCATTAGATAAAAGAGCCCTAAGGAGCTCTAGTGGCATAGTCTATAGCATGTTGTGCTGCTAACCAAAACATCTGGCAGCTAGGAAATGCCAAACTGCCTAAGAATGTAGGATGACATAGGAAAATATTCTCAATGTCCTGTTAGGTTAAAAAAATCAAGTTCTAAAATTATGAACAAAAATATGTCTAACAGTTACTAAAGCGCACACACATAGTATACTGGTCAAGAGAGCATTTTGGAATATTGGTTCAAATCCTGGTACTGCCATTTTTTAGCAGTGTACCCTTTAATAAATTACATTTCTGTTCTTCAGTTTCTATATGTAAACAAGCACAATGCAAACTTATTATTTACCAGCAATTGGCACACACACTACTGAGCACAGTATAAACACACAGTGCTGTGTACTAGAGGTTGATTCTGATTTATAGTGATCCTATGTTGTTGTTACATGCTGTTGAGCTGGAACCGAATCATCACTACCTTCCAGCAGATTTTTCAGAGGCTATAAATCTCAAGGGAGGAGACTGTCTTTCTCCCTGTAGGACAGAATAAAACCCCATAAGGTTTCATAGACTATTTATGGAAGCAGATCACCTGATCTTCTCCTATGAGGATTGACAATGAGTTTGAACAGCCAACCATTTGACTGGCTGTCAAGCACTTAACCACTGCACCATCAAATTCCCTCAAATAATGAGTGGTAGTAACTAAATTTATTCGGGGGAAATCTGCTAGATGTACACACATAAAAAAAGGGGGAGGGGGAGAAGAAGGGGGGTCAGAAGGAGGAAATTGTACAACAATAAATGAATATTTTTTAAAAGAAGAAGGTGAACTAGGGGAGGGGGAAGAGAGAGAGGAAGGAAAATGTGCAACAATGAATGAATGAAATCCAACTTTTCTGTTAACTTTCATTAAAATTAAAAAGCTTAGGGGAAATAAAGACTATGGTGCACTAAAAAAAAGGCTAGCAGGTATCATTACATAGTGAATTCTAGGTAGATGATTTTCAATTTCTTCTTTGTACTTTGATATATTTTCAGAAATGTTTACAATACACATTCATTAATTTTGTAATTTTAAAAATAATCATTTTTAAATTAAAAAAATAATGCTCCCAACAAAGGAAAAGGATAGCCAAGTGTTGTAGGCCCTTATTAAACTTAAGAGGATCCACCTGAGAGATAGGATAAAGCAAATAATGAAAAAAAAGACACAAGAGCAGACAGACATTTAATGAAACTGCAGGTCTGTGGACCATTTCCTTTCTTTTGCTGTGGACTCCTAACTAAGCAGTGGTAGGCTGCCCAGTGACAATGATACCGAGTACAACTACACCTTCATTCTGAGAGCAAATGATGCAAAACTGCAGCTCACTCAACCTACAAAATGAGGGCAAGTGATTTTTCCTTTCTCTCAGGACCACCAAGTTCAGGTAAAATAGGCAAGAAATCTACAGTGGACATGATCTAGCAAGGAATTAGCAAATAGTGTTCCTTTCCCATAGGTGTAGAATTTTGTAAGACAAATTTTTACCTTTTCTTCTGGACATGGAGTAAGCCATGATTTGCATTTTCCTGTCATGTCACCAAGGGTGGTATGATTGCCATTATATACATAAACACGGCCATCTTCTCCCCCAATTAGTCCAGAGGTGATATCTGATATCCTTAGAGGGGCTGCCATGATGATTTCATCTGTGAAAAATTAGATACAGAAGGAAGCATTGTATACAATAACTCCTCACTTGTCATCGTTCTCACTAGATCCCTAAATAATCTCCTACGAATACTATTTTTAAAGTCTAACAAAATGTGCAAAGAGAATAAAAAGGGAACAATTCAACATTTTAAAACTGAAAGAAATGCCACAGGCAAAATCTTGAATGATCCAGGAAGCATCAAAAGAAGATGGAAGGAATACATAGAGATACCAATTGATGTCTTTTTCAGCTAACATATACAACCTTGGACATGCTTACCAGTCTATGCCAGGAAATTTCGAGGACTGGCTGACTGGAAGAGATACATATTTTGTTCCTATTCTCAAGTAAAGTGATGTAATGAAATGTGAAAATTACTAAAAAATATTATTAATATCATAAGCAAGCAAAATACTACTGAAGATCATCCAAAAACATACATCAACAGGGAATTCCCAGAAGTTGAAGCTGAATTTAGAAGAGACTGTGGCACTAGGGATATCACTGCTAATATCAGATGGATCCTGGCTAAAAGCAGAAAATATCAGAAGAATATCTATCTGGGTTTTATTGACTATGCAAAAGCATTTGACTGTGTGGGTAATAACAAACTATGGCTAATACTGAGAAGAATGGAAATTCCAAACACTTAATTGTGTTCATGTGAAATGAATATCTGGATCAAGACACTGTTATCCAAATGGATCAAGGAAACACTGTATGGCTTAAAATTGAGAAGGATATGCATCAGGGTTTTATTCTTCCCCATACTTATTCAATCTGTTTGCTGAGCAAATAATTCATGAAACTGGACACTATTGAAGAAGAACGTGGCATCAGGATTGGAGGAAGACTTATTAACAGCCTGCATTATACAGATGGCAACCTTGTTGCTAAAAGAGAATGAGACCTGAAGTGCTTGGTGCAGAAGATCAAAGACTATAGCCTTCAATATAGATTGAATCTTAACATCAAGAAAACAAAGGTTCTTACCACTGGGACAGTGGGAAACATTATGATAGATGGAGAAAGGATTGAAACTGTTCATGATTTTTTGTCTTTCTTGGGTCCACAATCAACACCTTTGCTACCAGCCATCAGAAGATAAGGAGGCGTATTGCTTCTTTAGGCAAGTCCACTATCAGGTACCTCTCAAAAATACTGAATAACGATGTCAGTTTGAAGACTAAGATGCACCTGATTCAGACTATGCTTTTTTAAGTACTTGCTATGTATCTGAGAACTGGAAAATGAATAAGGATGACAAAAGAATTGGTGCCTCCTACTTATAGTATTGGAAAGGAGAAATTTAGCAGAATATCCCATGTACTGACAAAAGAATGGACAAGTATGTTTTATAAATGGTTCAGCTGAAATGTTCCTTGGAGAAAAGCATGAAAAACTTTGACTCTTATTCCTTGGAAAAGGATATTATGCTTAGAAGGGAGGACGGTCAGCTAAAGAGTGGAAGACTCCCATTGAGATGGACTGGCATGGTGACTGCAGCAATGAGCTCAAGTGTATCAGAGATGATGAGGATGGCACAGGAGAGGAGGGGATTCAGGTCTGTTATTCATAGAGTCATTATGAATTATATTCAATTTGACAGCACCTAACAACAATAACACATTTATTTCACTCTGATAGAGTCATAACCTTTTGTTTCTATCTCATCATTCATCAGTAACAACTGGCATGAGTAATTCAAAGGTTCCATCATTGTAGAGGCTGTTGTGATTGTTAATTGCTACCAGGTCAATTCTGACCCATGATGACTCCCATGTACTAAAATAGAATGAAATGGTACCTGATCCTGGGCCATCTTCACAATCATTGGTACATTATAGCAACCACTGTGTATGTTTAGTACCTTCCAACTACATCAGAGAACGTCCGGTTGTGAGCAGGATAGTGTTCTGTTGTGAGCAATCTGGCTGATTTCTGAAAGTAGGTCACCAGGCCTTTCATCTTGGTCTGCCTCAGTGTGCAAGCTCCACTGAAGCCTCTACTCCAAAGAACTTGAAATACCAGTAGCATAGTTTCCAACATCAAAACAACACAAACACCACCACATTATGACTAACTGTCACAGATATGGGTGGGCAAGGAGGCACCAAGAGCACATATTTACCACCAGCAAGTGTTAATTCTTATATCTAGCCTTGTTCTTTTATGATTCAAAATGTAACAAAAGGCTGTTGGGTCACTGTGTCATTAATTATGAGGGCAGAGCCTAGATGATCTAATAAATTAAGAAACTGGTCCAGTGAGTTAAAGGGCTCAGTTGTACTTGGCTAAAGGCATCATTTCTTCCTTACCCAAGCCATCATTATCCAGATCACTCAGGTGCAGAACTCCACCAAATCGAGCGAAGCGGCGATCCCCACTGAAGGTGCTGAGCAAAGCAGGTTGTGCATCCTCTGTGATTGCATACATGCGAGTGCTTCCACCTTGGTGCAAGGTCATAGTAAAAAACGCCATCTTGGACATGTCATCTGAAAGGCACCAAAGTGATACATCAGGAATACCTGTGTGTACCTCTCTGCCTCTTATCCTGGGGCTAACAGGTGTATGTCAGGTCAATCCAAGCTCTCTGTCCTGGAAGTTTTCTCAAGATCTGGGTTCTGAAGGCAAGGACTAGGAAGCTTGAATTTATCTGCCCACTAAACCATGTTCTCCAGTACAGCTAGATCAGTTTTTTTAAAAAATATTTTTATATCAATCTAGATGATTTATGAGTCTACTTGCCAAATTGTCTGAAAGGTCCAAGAGAAGGGATGAAATGTTAAAATATTAAAATGACTAGTAGTTACCATCTATAAAAGGAGAGGAATATATCTTAGAATAATTTCACCAAGATAGGCTATTTATACTAAAAATTTTAAAATTATTAAAGTACATTAAAAATTTCAGCCATTTCAAGGCAGCTTATTCCTATAATGATGCAAATTAGACAATGGGTTATTGTATACATTTTAGATAATTAACAATATTTTTGTTGTTAAGTGCCATTGAGTGGACTATCAATTAACAATGACAAAAAAAAATCCTAAGTCATCAGATTCCATCATTTTCACTCTATTTGAGATATTCAAGGAGCCACAAGACTTTCCTTTTAGAAATTACTTTTCTGCTTCCTTATACTTTGGCATTACTGTATACCAGAGAAATACTAGCAACATGGTTACTCCTGGGTAAGGAACTGACCTCATTTACACTGTTCTCTTGTCATGGAGAATGACAATGTACTAAGGGGCTAACACAATGGACAGAAAAGCCATTTTTCAAAGTTCTAGCTCCACAGGTGCCATCAAGTTGACTGTGACTCAGTGATGCTATGAACAACTCTGAACCTTGCCCTATCCTGCACCATCCCCACAAATCTCAGCCAAACTAAAGCCCATTGTTATAGACACTGTGTCAATCCATCTTGCTGAAGGTCTTCCCCTCTTTCTCTGACTCTCCACTTTTCCCAGTATAATATCTTTCTCCAAGGATGCATCCCTCCTGATGGAATGACTAAAGAATGTGAGACAAAATTTCACCATCATTGCCTCTAAGGAGCAGGCTGGTTGTACTTCCTCCAAGACAGATTTATTCTTTTGGCAGTCATGAGAAAGGTGTAAATCTTTTGTTTTGTTAGGGGGAAAAAGGAGGGCAGAAGGGGCAGCAGTGTCATGGTGAGTGACCTACCGTGAGTCGGAGCTCCCACCAGAAGCACCTGTGTCATTATCCCATTCAGCATCACATGGCCACTGGACAGCGAGGTGCCCAGTTTGCCCATCGCCTGTAAAAGGCAACACATTAGTACTGCAGAGCTAAGAAAGCCTTGTCAAACCTGCATTCCTTGGGAGGGGCTGCCATACCTTGTCTCCAGAAATTGTAAACCAACTTTGATTATTTGGCGGGAAATAGCCATACACCCTTCCGAGGTTTGGTTTCTCATCCTGCTTGTGGGATAAAGGGCCTACACTGGGAAAAAAAAACAAACACACACAGGGCTCAGATTAGAGGTCAGCCAGGAGCTTAGAGAAGCAGTAGCCCCAGGTGAGGGCCAAGGGCAAAGAATGCACTTCATCCCATTGACACCCTCCACCTGCTCTCGGACCTCATGATCCTAGGCACAGAAGTTGCATGCTTTCAGAGTGAGTCTCAGAATCCAAGTTCTCTGGATGCAATGCCTATCATTCTTTGCAACTTTACACCAAATGGGTTATTATATTATTGATAGCTATCATAGAGTCAGCCCCTAACTCATGATGATACCATGCACAATGGAAAGAAATGCTGCCTGTTCCTGTACCACCCCCCACAATCAGGTATACTTTATATTATTCTGATCAATAGGGTTTTCATTGACTGATATTTTTAATATAGATTGCCAGGTCTTTCTTCCCCTTTCATCTTAGTTTAGAAGCTCTGTTGAAACCTGTTTCGATTCACAGTAGCATATAAACCTCCAGTAATAGATAAGTAATGGCTGTACATTGTACGTGCATGGGTTGATTGGGAATGTAATTGGTGTGGGCTTTCCCCTGCATGGCAAGGGAATATTCTACCACTTAGCCACCTATGTGACCAGCCACCAAATATAAGTTCATCTGTCCATTTAACCTTTAAACTTCTGAGCAACCTATCAGATCCTTAGGTTTTCCTCAAAGCAGAGAACTTTTTAGCCTACTTCTCTGAATGTCATATTCAATGAGCTTCCAATGGAGTTTTCACCAACTCCCTGAGCTCCAGCATCAGGGCTTACCTGCTAGTGTCCTTCCAGGTTGGGCTCCCGACCAACAGCAAAGTCTTGTTGTTCATCCGGATGCTGTGGAGGGAATATCCAAACCAGGCAAAGTCCTCCTCGCCTCTCAACAGCCAGTCAGCAGCCTCCACGCTCAGCTTTTCTAAACAAGATGACCAGCCCCTTTACTTTACATGGAAGGATGAACAGGGTGCAAAGAGTGGGTCCTGGTGTCGGTTTGAAGAGAAGCTGGGGTTCTTTCTGTTAAAATTTAACCAGAACTCTTACATGTCCCCATGCAGATATTAGAAACTATACAGCATCCAGATCTTACACTTAAAAAAAGAACAATGTGGAATAAAAAGACCATTAGACACTATTTGTACTGTGATTGATGTTTTAGAATTATGTGCTTGAGCAATTGGGGAAGAAGAGGAAACAGGCCAAAACAACAATATGCTTTGAAAACTTCTACTCAAATCATAATAAAAAGGAAAGAATTATACTTCTAATATGAGGCCATAGAATATTGGAGGAAGTGGAAGCCCTTTCTTGTGGACATTTTAGAATGCCACAGACAAACAGTTGCTCGCAAACCACCTCAGAATATCTATTCCTATGATAGGAGACTATAAGAATGACCCTATTCTCTTCAGGTCTGGGTCTTAAAATTGGATCATCTTTTTTTTTTAATTTTTAAAACTAATCTATCTTGATTTGTTGTTATTGTTGTGGAGCATATACACAAAGGAAAATACATTAACTCAACAGCTGGTACTTGTGTAATTCAGTGACACTGATTACATTCTTAGGAGCTCTCTGGTAGAGAGTTGTGCTGCTAACTCAAAGGTGGGCCCGAGTGGTTCAAATCAACCAGTGGTTTGAAAGGAGAAAACTGGGAAATGTTCTCCTGTGCAATTTCCTGCCTCTGAAAACCTACCAGAGGGTCAGCTATGAGTCAGTCTTGATTCAAGAAGAATGAGAAAAATGTATGAGTGCATTTTGGAGTCATGCATCCATTCTCACCCTCCTTTTCTGAGTTGTTTCTCCATTAATACAAACTCCCCATCCACTAAGAATTTCTAATTTAATCCCACATGAACAGTTCTTAAAAGAGTATAATTCTGAAATAAGGCAAACATTTTTCATTACTTAAGCTAGGTTTGTTCATTAATTGTAGTTTGAGTGGAAGTTACAAAGCAGATTAATTTTTCATTCAATCATTCATAGAGATTTTGTTCTGTAATGTTAATTTCTATACCCAAAATGAAATTGCAAGTTTCCCATGTCCTTTACTGATTTCCATGTATCTTTCTTGAAGTATCCCTGTCTGTGTCTCTGTGTCTTCCCTTTCTTTAATGACACTGTGCTGATCAGCCCCTTATTGTATGGTGCCTTTGGTTTCACCCTTCTTAATATGTGTTTATGTTCTATTTCTTCATTTTTATCCCCTCTTTCTCCTTTCCCATCCCAGATAACCATCCAAGAACAATTTTATCTGTATTTAAACTATTCTTTAGCTTTTTATAATAGTGGTCCTATGGGGGATCTTCTTGGTTTACAGTTTAAAGATTATCTCAGGCAAATTGATGATAGATAGATAGATAGATAGATAGATAGATAGATAGATAGATAGATGATAGATAGATAGAATCTAGAGCACTTGTTAGAGTGTAGAATAATATGAAAAGTGGAAGGAACATATGCAAGAGAAATAATCAGACACAGAGAGCTTTAGCAGTCTCTTTCTATCATCCAGTCAAGCATTACCTTTTTCAGGCCGGCTGGGGTCAGAATGAAACACAGCCACAATCCCCTTTTGCTTCCCTCCACCTGGTGCAAAGGGGGAACCTATCACCAGGTCAGGTTCACCATCTCCATTCACATCTGTGGCCAGGAGCGTCCAGCCCAGGTTACAGTAAGTGTCCTTAAGAGGAAATCAGGAAATCACTTCTTACTCAGCAGTGGAGGCCCATAGGAGGCAGGGAGAGCTAGATCTCTGCACTTGGCTGAAATGCTAAATATACCTGGCAAGAGATGGTGATGTTAGGGGAAGAAGACATCCTTCCTTCTTTAGAACCAAAGTAGACGTACACTGCTCCCTAGATGGGGACAAATAATAAAGCAGTCAGAAGGTTCAGCTGTTCAGCCAAGAATCTAGCAAGAGCCTAATAGCTCCCAGATCCCCAGACTGTGCAGCGCCATAATTTCATTCCCAACAGACCACAAGTACTCCCCTGTCATGAACTGAACTGGAACCCCCACCCCCTAAGTGTTGCAGGTACTAAACCCTACACCTGTGTTTACAATCCCACACAGGAATGAACTTTGCTATGTTAATAAGGTTTATTTTAAATCAATCTATTTTGAGATATAAAAGAGCAGATAAAGCAAGTAAGCAAAGATGGGGAAAGGTGTATGCTACATGGCCACTAAGAAGCCTGAAAAAAAGCTAAAACGAAACCAGGACTCTTTCCCCAGAAAGAGAAAGCCTTCTCCCACAGCCAGTGCCCTCAATTTGAACTTCTAGTTTCATGAACATTGAAAGAATACATTTCTGTTCAGTAAAGCCATACCTTTGTGATATTTCTGGTGGTTTAGCAGCATCAGAAAACTAAAATCCCCAAAGTAGAAACTGCCATTTTTATCTTTGTTTTCCAGGAATCTGACTTAGGTTATGCCATATAGCATTGCTAATTATTTGTACAATCACTTTGTCACCTCCTCTCTCATTTGAGGCCAAGCTCAATTTCTTGCTCCTCCATAAATCCTATGATCCTGCCAGCACTTTAACCCTCTGAACACTCAGTTTACCATGTATTTGCCTCAAGATGCATCCTGTGGTGTTGCTTTGTGTTATGAATGAAATCCTACCTCATTTCTTGCCTATTTCCATTCATTTGTTCACTCTGTCTTCATTTATTTCCCAGCACAAGTTAACCAGGGAATCATGAGCCAAATACTAGAGATACAGGATGACTAAAACCAATCTCAGTCTTCCTGAACAGCTGGTAAAGAGGCAATTATACAGCAGTGTACACAGTTCTACAATAAGGGGCAGAGCCCAGAATGCTCTGAGAATATAATGAAGCACTGCCTAACCCAGGAATTAGATAACACTTCCTACAAGAAATGGCATGTTATTTGTAAAGGAAAAAGGGTTTTTCCAGCAGAACGAGTTGTATGAGCCAAGACCCCAAAGTGAGAGAGCATGGTGGATTCAAGAAATTACAAAGTGTGTGCAAGTCTTAACTAGTGTGTAAGGAGGGAAGGACAGGTGATTCTGCAGGAAATGATGGGCCTTGACCTCTTCAGCCACTCCTGGGCCCACATGCTTGTGCAGCAATGGTATTAAGTCCATGTGAGGAGAGAGCCCTGTGGTCCAGAGGCCAGGAACTCTACTCTTAGTAAGACAAAGGGAATAAACTGGGTTACGTGCATGAATGAAAAAGTCTAAGGCATGACAGGAAGCTAGACTGGTTGGAAGTTCTAGCTTTCTTCGCTGGCATTCAACATTTTGATTAAAAAAAAAGAAAGAGTAAAGTAACTTGGTAAAATTCAAGAATTATGATGTGAAAATAAAGCCAGACAAGCAAGAACATATGCTCTGGCAAGTAAGTCAAGGTCACTTCAAGGACCCAGATGGGTCCCGAGATCATCTTTGACCATATGACCAACAGATCAGAACATTTCCCTATCTTACATTATCCCCACAATCTCCATTACACTTAAACCTATTGTTTCAGTCACTGTGTCAATCCATCCCATTGAGGGTCTTCCTCTCTTCCTCACTCTTACACTTCACAGCATGATGTTTCTTTCCAAGGTCAGATCCCTCCTGACTTCATGCCCAAAGTATGTGAGTGAGATGAACTTCCACCATCTTTGCCTCTAAGGAGTACCCTGATTTCTTTTCTTCCAAAACCAATTTGTTGGTTCTTCTGACAGTAACTGGTCTATCCTTTACCAACATGACAGTTACAATTTCTGGAAATCCCCTATGTGCCTTCTGCCCTTCTACACTATTCCCTCAAACAATGGCACACCTTCACTATACCAGTCTTACATTGTATGTGAGTTGCTCAGAGCCCACTGATGGGGCTCCCACGGCCAGGTCAGGCACACCATCCTTATTGAAGTCCAACACGGCCAAGGCTGAGCCAAACCGACCTGAGGGCTGAAGAGGCACAAATTAATTCTCTAATCAAGTCATAGTCTTCAGAAAAAGCACTGCTGACATCCTGCTGACAGATAAGCATTAACTGAAGGGACTACTCAAGGCTGGAGTGGAGATAACCTGGGGTCCCAGCCATCATCCAAGGCGTAAAGAACAAAATCACAGCAATTGTTAACATGTAGGACACCCTAGTTAGGTAGCTCTGTCCTAATGACAATTAAGGAGCTCTGGTATATAGTTTGCGACATGTTGTATTGTTAACTGAGAGATCAGCAGGCCTAGTCTAAAAGGCCCTCCACTAGAAAATGATGTGCCATTTCTTTCCATAAAGTTTCAGAACCTTGGAAACTTAATAGAAGTTTGCTATGACTTGGAACCAACATAACAACACTTCACCTCTGAGGTGAAGGGGAGTCTCCAAAAAAATAAAGAACTAGTTTCTATGAGTTCTAGGTATTTGAAAAAAACACCAACTCTCTCTCTCTCTTTTTTTTTTTTTAGAAAGTATTCAAATAACAATCCCAGAACACCACCAACTGCAGCTAACACTTCTTGAGCACTTAGGATTCTCTGGGATCCCACTATCCATTACACTAGCCATTAGCCACATGAGATTATTATTTTTAAAGAAAAAATAAAATGTGAAGAAAAGAGGTGGATGTGCCTTTCTCCCCTCAGTGACCATTCATAACTTGGAACATGACAGATTAAGACACGGGCAAGCATGAGGTTTCTTCCTTCTAGCCCTGGTCCTGCAATTAACCTCTAGAATCAGTCTAGAACAGGAAAACTCATTTTGTTTTCCTGTTCCTTCACAATGCCTTACTTAACAATAAGCAGTCTTTCACAAGGTGATCTTGCTACATAACACACATGCCCAAGTTCCCACATCTCTTATTCATTGACTAATTGCCCTGTACAAAGGCATCTATGAAGTCTGCAAGATAGGAACTTGATAAACAAGAGAGGATGACTTGTGGACACCAAGCATGTTGGACCAGGGTGGAGACTAATACACAGAAGCATCTGCTTTCTGAAGATCGGTTCATTTTATCACTACCCACACTGCTGTGAACTAACCAGACTTCCTACAGGATCATGGCATTTCAAAGTAGACAAGCATTTGAGGCATCATCTACTCTAACCTCTTATTGTAGAAAAAGGGACACAGAGAAGTTAATAAGAGGAACAGGGCTAAAGTGAATAATTCCTATGCTTGCCTGTTCCTTAACTGTCTGGAGTAAGAAAACTTTCCTCTCTCCATTGTGCCACTCACCTCTTTCTTTGCCCCAAGTGGTCTTCCAGAAAATTTCTCATCCACAAGGATCAGTTGACTGTCTTATTCTCAGTCTACAGAAGCACAGAGAATCATATTTGCCACCACAATCTGGCCAAGGGGACTGCTTTGTGAAGTTGTAAGAAGAAATGGGAATGTGTGTATATATTTTTAAAACTTTCTTGAGGCTTTCACAGACTCCATAAAAAGCTATCCCACTGGAATTCTGCAACCTCATATACAGGCATATCCAAATGAAAGCTACTGTGTTAAGTTGGTTCTGACTCATGGTGATCTTGCATCAGGTCTTCCAGGACTATACATCTTTACAGAAGATTTCAAAGCAGGATTCATACAGCTGACCTTTTAGTTACCAGCCCAACACATAATTCACTCCACCACAAGGGCTACACTTACACTGTCAGGTAGCTTATTTATGTTCCATTCAGGAATCCTTCCATCAGAGCCTAAACTGGATCATGAACCCTTGTACTTCCATTTCTACAAGTATTTTCAAGTTTGCTCTCTTATTTTCTCCTCACATTGCCAACACAAGCAAAAGGGACATCAAATATGACCTGACTCAGAGTCCAAGGTGCCTCCCACTAGTACTTGCACTCAGTGCCAGGCCACTGTCCCTAGCTTATCTGACTAATAGCAGAGCTCTTTACACCCTCCCTTGTTGCTCTTGTCTGGAATGGGTGACTGCCTCTGATAGTTGGAAAATCTTCCAGATTCCCAGTACTTCAAAGATGGAATTAGTGGTCAGACTACGTGATAAACATACGTACAGTCATGATGAAGAACCACTTTTGAATAAATCCTGGAATTTAGTTTCTAATAATCAACCAATGTCAGTTTCTTCTTTTTTGACAAATGTTTGATAAGACAATGAGTACCAGCACAAACTAGATTAAGGGTATTTGGAAACTATTTGCACTATCTTCAAAGGTTTTTTTAAAAATTACCCAGATCAAAACTTCTACTTAATAATGTGTTATAACTATATAGTAAAAGCAAGTTTTTTAATTATCTAGAATCCAAAGGACAATACATTGATGGGCTTTTCAAAGCAGCTCCAAAGAGTATGTGCATTTGAGAAGGTATTGCACCAAACGCTCAAAAGTCAATAGTATTTTGACTACTAAGACTAGCAGTTGCCATCAAATCAACCCATAGCATCTCCATGGGTGTCAGAGTAGGACTATACTTTCATAGAGTTTTCAGTAGTGAATTTCTTAGAAACCAATCAGCAGGCACTGCTTCTGAGAACTGTGAGGTAGACTTGAACCTCCAACCTTTTGATTACCAGTTGACTGTGTAATTATTTGCACCAACCAGGGAGGATAGAATGAGATAGAATTTCTTTTTGAAAGTGAGACGTGCTATTCAAATATAAGTCACCAGTCATTGTGACTAAATTTTGTTAGGGATTCACCCTAACCTGGAAGCCTTCCAGGATCCTGTGAGCCTCTTTGTCTAGGTCCAAGTCAACTGGGGGCAGGCCGAGGTCATTGCCATAGATGAGATACACACGTCCAATCTGAATGTGACCTGGGAGGCTATACCCAGGTGCACCAACCACAAGATCACCATGCCCGTCCTGGTTCAGGTCTGCTGAGGTCAATGCCCTGTAGAAGAGAAAAGAGAGTATATGAAGTATCCACCAAGTGCTATGAGAATAACTATCCCCTGTTTCTTTCTTTCCTTTCTCGAATCCAGTTCTTTAACGTTTTCTCACAACAACTAGTTTTAGTGATAAACTACTTCAAAGATTCAAATGTCTGTGTTGGGGACCAAAAATTCTTTCTATACTCTAGTGCTTATGGCCACTTAAAAAATAAATGGGGAAATCTGTACAGCAGTGTTCACGGCAACGTTTTCCACAATAACCAAAAGATAGAAACAACCTAAATGTCCGTTAGTAGATGAATGAATAGACAGAATGTAATACAACCCTACAATGGAATATTGTTGTTGTGGTGGTGGTTGTGGTGTGACTGTGTGCCATCAAGTTGGAACCAACCCATCACTGACCCTCCAGTATGTTTTCCAAGGCAGTAAATGACATGGGAGGAAACTGTCTTTCACTCTCTTGTGGAACAGCTGGTAGATTTGAACTTTGGGATTATAGCACAGCCTCTTACCACTAGGACACTAGAACTCCCTAAAAAAATCATGTTTTAACGCATGCTACAACATGGATAAACCTTGAAAACATGCTGAGTGGAATAAGTCCGCCACAAAGGACAAATATATTCCGCATTTATAAAACAGACTTACTAGTGGTTACCAGGCATGAGAATGAGAGGAAAGAGAAAGGCATTGTTTAGGGGGCATTAAGTTTCTAATCTCCAAAGTTATTTGAACTTTATATACGCATATCTTATAAAATAATACTTATAGTTGTAGTTTTTTAGTAAAGTGAAAGGTCCTTATGGACAAATACCTTTTAACCAATTTTACTAAAGCACACTGGATGCAAATCAAGACTGTAGGGCTGAGTAGTGATGCCCACAGGGTTTCCTAAGCTGTAAATCTTTAGAGAAGTAGACTGCTCATCTTTGCCCAAGAATCACTAACCTTTTGGGTAGCAGTCAAATACCTGAACTACAATACCAACAGACAAAATTAAGCATCTTATTGTATCGTTACATTATTTAGTGTAAATAATTACTGGTTTGGTTGATAATACATTGAGTGGAAATAAAGCATTTGCTCAATGACTGGATAAAAGTAAATGATTAAAAAAACCTTAAACATATGAAAGCATGCCCCAATACACCTACCAACCAAGTCTTGCATATGGAAATGACAGGAAATAAGATGCCATGGGGTTGGAAATGTGCTTAAGTGACTGATGTGAACCGCCTGTCAACATTTTTCGCACATTCCTTTCCAAAGCCTTGTACATGAAGGTAAGGGAATCCTGAAAGAAAAGAGGCACAACAGTGGGTAAAATACATCACATCTACAGAACTACTACAGAGTTACTGGTGCCTGTCACAGGTATGGGTCTTTGTGAAAGAAAGATATTGTTACAAGTGCTAAAAAAGAAAATATTCGTTACTATCAACGAGAACCTCTGGGGGCAGAGTCTGAAGGGTGTTACACTGCTAACTAAAAGGTTGCAACTCTGGTAGTTCAAATCCACCAGCTGCTCCTCGGGGAAAAATAGGAATCTCCTGTAAAAATCCATAGCTCAGAAACCTAGTTGTTGTCACTATGCGTTAAAACCAATTTGAACAGCAGTGAGTGAGTGAGTTTGTTTTAATCAACAAGTCACTTATACCAGTACCAAACTAGTTGGCAATAAGTCAGCCCCTACTTAAGGTGACCCCCACATGTGTCTGAGTAGAAATGTGTTCTTCAGGGTTTTCAAGCCTGTGCTTTTCAGAAGTAGATTACCAGACTTTTCTTCCAAGGTGTCCTGGGTATGTTTGAACTGCCAACCTTTTGGTAAATACTCAAACCCTTCATGGTTTCTGTTATTCAGGAATCCAAGATCACTTTGGACAAGCAATTAAGAGAGTGAAATTACTATTCTCCATACATGCTCAGTAATGGTAGAGCTGTGTTGTTGCTCTGTGCCTTCTGATCAACTACAACTCATAGCAACCCTAGGAACAATATATCAGAAACTTGTCCTACCTTGCACCATCCTCACAATCTCTGACATGCACATGCCCATTGTTATAGTCACTGTGGCAATACATCTTACTGAAAGTCTTCCTTTCTTTCTCAGACCATCCACCTTTCCCTTTTTATTCCCTTGAAATATCTTTTTTCAAAGACTAACCTCTCCTGATAAAAACCTCAAGAAATTGACTACAATAGGAGGAAAAGTTTAGTTGTGTTTTAACTCAAACGAACCAAGTCAGGGTGGCCTATACTGATTTTCAGTACCTAACTGGGGGAAAAAAGAATTATTGTTGTTGTATGCTATGGAGTCAGTTCTAACTAAATAAGGCCATATATAACAGAGCAGAACTGACCAATAGGGTTTTCTAGGCCTGATTCTTTATAAGAACACATCACCCAGTCTTTTCACCACAGAACTATTATTGGGGATAGTCAACCTTTTAGTTAGCACCCAAACACTTCACTATTATGCCATCAAAAGTTCTTAGCCTATTCTGTTGTTGGATCCTTGTAAATTCAAGGATCATAAACCTAAATCTACTCAAAAGTGTCATGAGAATGAATAAGACTTCCCATGCCTTCAGAATAGGCTCAGCATCATGGACAGTGCACAGCTCAGGTTCTAGAGAGACACAGCTTACAGGGACCCTGTAGGACAGGGGTCTTGCTTCTGCTTTCCTTATGATGATCACTCTGGTCTCTGTGCACAGACTTCTGAGCCAAATGTCTGGTTCTAGTGTGCTCATCCATTTAGAACACATTTATTAAGCTCCTACTGTATGCCAAGCATCATGATATGCTTTGGAAATATAATGGCCCTTCCTCATGCAATTCATCATTTTGCAAAAGAGACACGTTCTGACACAAATGCAAGATGATACATGTTTATTAGAGGTTCCTAGGTCAGATGGGCTACATAGTCTGAAAAATGCAGAACAAAAACGAAAATGCAGAGACAACTGATCACAAATTTTTAAAGATTTCTAAAGCTGTGGCACTTGAACATTATACCTTATATCACTCACCTCGTGTCCCAAGAAAACAAAAACAAAAACCACCAACAAAATCCTCTCTGACAGATTAAGTACTAGCTAGTACTACTCTAGTGGCAGTGGATAGTATGTAACACTGCTAACCCAAAGGCCATGCATCTCTAGTAGATCAAACTCTCCAGAGGCTACTTGGGAGAAACATGGACAGTCTCTTCCCAGTAATATTTGCAATCTCAGAAATGAGATAGAGGGTCCCAATGAGTCAAAATCAACTTGTCAGTAGTGTCAGTGAGTTTTAGGGTTATGGTTTCTTTGTTTTCTTTTGTTCTTTCATTTCAAGTCTAATTCAAATGCCACCTCTTTCATGATGCCTCTGGTAGCCTCTCAAGGAAAGATTCATCAACTGTTTCCTAACTGGTTCCTCATTCTGTAATAGTATTCACTGTATTCTATTCATGTAATAAGTTATTTTTCTATTCATCATCTTTATTCATTCACTCATTGCTGTCTTGTCAGAGCTGGCTCATAGCTGAACCTCTAACCAGCTTTTCTGAGACTGTAAATGTTACAGGAGAAGATTGCTTGTCTTTCTCACTCAGAGCAGCTGGTAGATTTGAACTGTCAGAGAGGTGCAAACTTTGGGTTGGCAGAACAACTCCCTATGGACTATACTACCAGAACTCCCTTCTATACTAAACTAAATTTTTCAAACTTTTTCCATTTCATTTTATGATTCTCCAGAGGAAGGGTTGGGTTTTTTGCTGCTGTCAAGTCAGCCTCTGGTTCATGGAAACAGTGTTGCCATTAGAGTTGGTGGCACAGAGTGCAGTAACCTTGATGTTACCCCCATCCCTTGCTTGTAGAACATACATGTGAAATCATGTGATTCAAAGCATAATTATAACTGATAAATAATGAAACAGAGAGCATAACAATGTTTAAAAAAATTGATAACTTTGGTCCTATATATATATATATATATTGATACTTGTAAATCAGGTTTACAATCAACACTCTGGAACCTATAGTCAGAAAACAAAAAAAAATGAATTGCATTAGGTAAACTGCTGTCAGGGTCCTCTACAGAGTACTGAGAAGCAACAATGTCAGTCTAGAGACTAATATGCACCTAATCCAGGTCAAGGTCTTAGCAATTACTTGTTATGCATTAGCGAGCCAGACAATGACTATGGATGACAGAAGAATCAATGTCTTTGAGTTGTAGTGCTAGATAAGAATCTTGAGCATACCATAGACCACTGAGAAAACAAATAGGTCTGACTTAGTGAGGATTAAACCATGTTTCTCCTTGGAGGCTAGGATTTTGAAGCTCTGTCTCACATACTTTGGGCATGTGGCCAGGAGGTACCTATCCTGGGAGGAGGACATTACGCTCAGAATGGTGGAGAGACAGCACAGGAGAGCAAAACCTCGGCAATGGGGGTAGGTGTGTTGGAGTCAGTGAGACTGGCTCAGAACAGGGCAGGCTTTAGAGCTGTTGTCCATAGGGTCACTATAAGTCACAAATGACCTGACAGCACACAACAACAACAAATAAGGCTTATAAAAAAATAAAAGCTCAAATGTGAAAACCTAGAGGAAATGGTCAAATACTTAGAAATTCACAACCTACCTAAACTGACACAAACCAATATTGAAAACCTGGACAGACCCATTACAAAAGAAGAAATTGAAAAGGTAACAAAAAAACTTCCAGCCAAAAAAAGCCCTAGACAAGATGATTTTACAAGTGAATTTTATCAAACATTCAGAGAACTGCCACCAATTCTACATAAACTATTTCAGAAAATAGAAAAAAATGGAATTCTCCCAGATTCATTCTATGAAGCAAACATATCCTTGATACCAAAGTGAGGTAAAGACACCACTAAAATAGAAAACTATAGGCCAATATTTCTCATGAACATTGATGAAAAATTCTGGATAAAATCCTGGCTAATGGAATCCAACAATACATTAAAAAAATAATTCACCATGAACAAGTGGGATTCATAACAGTTATGCAAGGATGGTTCAACATAGGAAAAACAATCCAAGTAATTCATCATATTAACAAAGCAAAGAAAAAGAACCACATGACTCTATCAATTGATGCAGAAAAGGCCTTTGACAAAATCCAACACCCTTTTCTTGACTAAAACACTAAACAAAATAGGATTACAGGGGAACTTCTTCAACATAGTAAAAAGCATATATGCAACCCTGAGAGCCAACATTGCTCTTAATGGAGAGATATTAAAGGTATTCCCTTTGAGAACTAGGCAAGCATGTCCACTATCACCTCTCTTATTCAATATTGTACTGGAAGTCTTAGTGATAGCAATAAGACATGAGAAGGAAATAAGGGGTATCCAAATTGGAAAAGAGGTAAAATTATCTCTATCTGCAGATGATATGATAGTATACTTAGAAAACCCTAAAAACTCAGCAAGAAAACTACTGGACCTAGTTGACCAATTCAGCAAAGTGGTAAGATACAAGATCAACATACAAAAATCAATTGGATTTCTCTACAGTGAAAAAGAGAATACAGAGCTGGAGCTAAGAAAAACAATAACCTTCACAATAGTGAATCACAAGATTAAATACTTGGGAGTAAATCTAACCAGAAGCACAAAGGACCTATTCAAAGAAAATTATAAAACATTACTATAAGAAACAAAAAGAGATCTGGGAAAATGGAAGAATATCCTTTGCTCATGGATAGGAGGACTCAATATTGTGAAAATGATGATACTGCCAAAGGCAATTTACACATTCAATGCAATCCCAATACAAATACCAATCCCATTCTTCAATGAGATGTAAAAAGTAATCTCCAATTTCATTTAGAACTGAAAGAGGCCTTGAATAAGCAAAGCACTCCTTAAAAAGAGAAACAAGGAGGAACGAACTGGGGGGGGGGGACTGGGAGGGGAGAGAAGTGCAGCAATGAATGAATGGAAATCCAAAATCTCTGTAAATGTTCATTAAAATTGTTTTAAAAAAGAGAGATAGAAATAAGGATCTAACTCAAATTTGTCACTACCATTTCTCACTTCCTGATTTCAAATCCCACTACACTGCCATGATGGTCAAGATAGTGTGGTACTGGTACAATGACAGACACATATATCAATGGAATAGAGAACTTGGAAATCAGCCCATCTATCTATAGTCAACTGATTTTTGACAAGGAGATGAAATAGTTAAGTGGGGAAATAATAGCCTTTTTAACAAATGGTGTTAGCGAAATTGGAAAACTATCTCAAGCAAGATCCACATCTCACTCCACACACAAAAACCAACTCAAAGTGTATCAAGGACCTAGGACTAAAACCAAGGACAATAAACTTTATTAGAGAAAATCTTGGAAGAACTCTAGAAGTCCTAATCTACAACATGAACAGTCTTCCAAGCATCCTGAAAAACCTACAACCAGGAGAGGATAAAATAGATGAACGGGACCTTCTAAGAATCAAATCCTTATGCACATACAAAAACTTCTCCAACAGGGTATAAAGGGAAGTCACAGACTGGGAAAAAATATTTGGCAATGACATGTCTGATAAGGGACTTACATCTAGAATTTATGGAATACTTGAGCTCCACATCAAGATAAAGGTAAACAACCCAGCTGCAAAATGGGCACAGGATATGAACAGACACTTCACCAAAGAAGACATTCAGATGGCAAACGAACACGTGAAGAAGTGTTCTAAGAGAGATTCTCTAAGAGAGATGCAAATCAAAACAGCTGTGAGATATCATCTCACTCCAGTAAGAATAGAAAAATTCAACAGAGCAGCAAACAACAAATGCAGGCGAGGTTGTAGAGAAACTAGAACCCTTATTCACTCTTGGTGGTAGTGTAAAATGATGAAACCACTGTGGAAGGCTATATATATGGCACTTTCTCAAAAAGTTGCAAGTAGAAATACATTTGACCCACCAATTCCACAACTGGGAATATACCCTAAGGAAACCATAACCGCTACTCAAACAGATAAATGCACATTTACATTTATCGCAGCTTTGTTCACAACAGCAAAGAGTTGGCAACAACCCAAGTGCCCATGAACAAACGAATCTATAGAGAAGCTGTGGTATATTCACACAATGAAATACTACGCTGCTTTGAAAAACAAAGGACTCATGAAATATTATACAAAATGGGTGGCCTGGGAGGACATTGTGCTAAGTGAAATATCTCAGTCACAAAAGGACAAATAGTGCATAGTGCCACTGTTGTCAAAAGGGATTGACATCAGAGTTGGAGGGAACATAAGAAAAGTGGGGATAAATAATGTATATGGCATTGAAACAGATGATGGAGAGAATGATTTGAAAGGAATATATGATTAGGGGGTTTTTTTAATAATTTTTTTTTTACAGAGGTTTTGGATTTCCATTCATTCATTGCCACAATTTTCTCCCTTCCCACCCCTCCCTACCAGCTCACTTCCCCCTCCGAAGAGAGGAAAAAAAAAAAAGAAAAAAAATTCCTTCATTAGTATACAATTCCCACATCCCTTCCCCCACCCCCCACCCCGAGTACACTTCTGTATGCAATGATTAGGTATTATTTTCATGACAAGATTCCAGCAAAAGAAATGCATAGTAAAGTGGACTGTGGATTCTGGGGGTGGGAGGTGGGAGATTGTATAACAATGAAATAATTTTTTTTCTTTTCAAATAGAAAAGCAAACTTGGGGGAGGGGTGTGCAGGGAGGAAAATGTGTAACAATAAATTAATTAGAAAAAAATTAAATGGGAAGAATATGCTGTAAAAATATTTAAATTTTTTTTTAAAAACAAAAGTTTTGTTGTTACAACTAACTACAGGTCTATTTTACAAAGAAATAACACATTTCTGCCGAAATATTGCACAAATTTTTATAGTCAGTCATTTTGGTGTCACTTTCTCTAAGACTGTCACTTCTTGGGGTCTGTACTCCAAACACCACCTGCCACTCATCGTGGCCCCTTTGCATAGCAGAATCCTGTGTGGTCCATAGGGTTTTCCTTAGCTAGTTTTGGGAAATAAACTCCCAGGCCTTTATTCATAGCTTGTCTTAGTCTGGAAGTTTTAATAAAACCTCTTCAGCATCAAAGCATTAAAGAAATCACCAGTGATAGATGAGTGGTAGCTTTGCTTGAGGAACAGTAGACAAGACTTGAACTCAGGTTTCCTGTGTGGTAGGTGAGCATTCTATCACTAAACTACCAATGCCAATATAGTGTCTTACCTTTAAAAGATTATCTCATGGATGAATTGCATATCCTATGGTGTCCCCAGCATGAGAAACACTGTGAGCAACCAATATTGCTAACATACCTTAGATTAAGGCCAAAACAAGATTGGCCCAGGTACAAGGAGTAAAGGGGGCTGTTAACCTGAAGTGCCAAAGGCAGCTGAGGTCCAGAGTCATGTGTCAGCACATATCTGAACAGACAAGATGTGGAGGTCAAAGGTGTTCACCTGCCTGGTGACACTGAATGGATTATTGAATACTCAATGACTCTACAAAACAAAATAAGCCCAAAAAGCAGCATTTGCATCTTTCCCCATTAATAGCAGAAAATTCTTACCTGTGTCCAGCTATCCACACTAAAGAAGACTCCTCTTTCTGTATAATTTATGTTCCTTTCTCTATCTTTCACTGGGGATGCAGTAAGATTTCTATGAAAAGGACTTTGCTGCACTTTCAAGCTGTGGAAAAGAGAAAGGAATAAAATTGTTAAAACTGAGAAAACAATCAACAACTCCCTGAAGAACCAAGCTGAAGAACAAAAACAAATTCAGCACAAGTTAAAACACCATCACAATTACCATCTAAATGTTTGCACAACACCATCACAAAAGCAAGATGTTATAAAAACCTTCACAGAAGACTTTAATAAATCATCTAAAAAACATATTTCTAAGGTTTTAAAAATCAGTTCTTGATAATCATCATCAATAAGGTTATGTTTCCTATAGGCTCTGAGCTATATCATAAAAGTCAAGTGTTTAGATTCTTCCTATGTTATTAAAAAAATGAAATCATCTCACTTGAAAGCTCAAGAAACTGGTTTATAGTTCACTGGAAAATATGTTTCCAGGCACACTTACTGATTAATCTTTAAAGATTTGCTAGAATCAATTATATAATAAAATGCATTTTCAAATTCCATGTTTTACCTAGCCTATATGAGCCAGATTAGGCCTCGTAAGGAAATGAAGCAGAAGGCAGACAACAGAAAGAATGAAGGGGACCTTGTGTAAAATATCACTGATATAGAGATTACAAACCAATCTAAATGTGTCCACTTAAATTTTTTTAAAATTAACTGATCAAACAAATTAAACAAAGAGGGCTTTTCTGAGCCCTTCCTGCATATTTCCAATTCTTCCAAAACCCTAAGTTCTTTGTCACCTTAGACCTTTCAGTACAATGCCCTTTTTAAAGTAATTCTTGGTTGTGTTATTCTTTTCAATTTCAGTCAAATCAGCCCCCAGTACTTGGCAACTCCATACACAATAGAAAAACAAAGGTCTGGTGGTCTGTGTCATCCTTATGGTTGATTGTGATCTGTAGACTTTTCATTAGCTGGTTTTTCTGGACATAGAGCACCAGGCCTTTCTTCTCAGTCTGGAAGCTCCCTTGAAACCTAATCATCATCAAAGCAACATTCAAGCCTTCAATGGCAGGCTGGTTGGTAGTTGTATGTGAGGTGATGGGCTGAGAAATCAATGCAAACTGACAGATTGGAAGGCAAGAATCCTACCACTAAACTACCACTGCCCCAATATATCTTACCCTTACCTATCTCAGTTAAAACATCATTTAAGAAACAGTGACTGGTTTACTATCTGAAGTATTGTATCAGAGCTCTGTCCTTCTTTCTTCATAACACAACACTTAAAATCACTTGGTTAGTGATGATCCAACTTCTAGATTGTTCATTCTATGAGAGAAGTCCTAATGACAACACTAATGATAATCTAATGATTACTAAATAGCCCCTTATTATTTTATTACTTTTAATGTTAATACTTATATTAATCATATATGTTTATTCTATTAATAAAATTATTTGCTGAATGTATGTTTGGTGGTTGGTTCCTGACTCCTTCCTGGTCCTCACCCTCAGAAATCAACTAGAGTGGTTGTCTCCCCACCCTGTCTCATTACTAAATACTTTTCATGGTGAAATCTAGGTAGAGTTTATTAATAACAACAACAACAACACCAAAGAACAGAGATCACACTATTAATTACTACTTTGTGAGCGGGGTTGTATGAGGTAATTGATTTACATCCATTACACTTGTGAGCCAGAGCATAACTCTGGGAACATGTATCTGTATTTTTTTTCTATTTTGCGAAAAGAGGAAGCTGTAACTCAGAAAATTTAAATGTTACTCTAAAACCACATAGCTGTAAATGGCAGAGCTAGAATTAGAACATAGACCTATCTGTCTATGAGTCCCACGCTCCCCACCTCCACAGGCACACCTTGGGGTGGAATGCTCTCCTCTATGCATACTTTGGATCCACTTACCCATGGGTGTTGTTTTGCTGGCTGCCACATGCTATGAACAGAGGGTTCTCAGGTAGACTGCAGTCACTGGGGAAATAGTCAAATGAGTCAAGCAGTTTTCTACATTTTTTTTCAAGTATGGGTTTTACTGAGAATCAGATAGACTTCAAAACACTTTCAATAAGCTGACTTTAGAGTTGTTTACCCATACAGTGCTCATAAAGGTACCAGTCCTTCCAATAAGGGCAGTTAAGCTGGCTGATGGTGAAACTATGGTAACACAGTCAATTCCATACTAACCATCATCCTAGACTCACAGCCTCCCCACTCTCTCCTCAGTCCATCCACTTGGGGGCTCCATTGTTAGTAAGAAACACTTTAGGATTAATGACAGTGAAAGAAACTGGTTCCCAAATCTGATAGCTAATTTTTATGCATTAACTTGACTAGACTGTGGTGCCCAGTTGTCTGGACAAATTTAGACTGAATGTTACTATGAAGGTATTACATGTGATTAACATTTGTAATTGGTTGACTCTAGGGAAAGGAGATTAACCTTGATAATGAGGGTGGGCCTGGTCCCATCAGTCAAAGGCCTTAACAAAATTGAGATTTGCCAAAGAAATAGTTCTGGTAATCAGGTAACATGGACATCCTGACAAGAATCTCCAACCTTGCCTCCACTCTGCCCCATTTTGATAGGCCCTCACAGTTGCTGAGCAAATTTCTTAAATTTGATCTAGTATTCTCATTCTCCCTAAATATACTGATATCAATACACATTTCTTTATTGATATATATGTCTAGCTAGCTAGCTAGCTAGCTATCCTGTTGGGTCTATTTCCTGGATAACCCAGTCTAGTACAAAATGCCATCTTTTGTTCAATTTTATCTATTTATGTTCAAATAAGAGTTAGATTCTTGCATTTATTTATAAACTTGAAAACATTCTTGAGAAAATGTAAAGTATAAAGAAGAGAAAGATTTATACAGAAATGACCAAGGGAAGCTCACAGCAGACTAAAAGACTGCAGTCTAAGGTAAAAACTAAATACGGAAAGAGAAATTCAGTAAATAAGAAAGAAGTAAGAAGCTGAAGGCAAACTTATCGGTCAAAATCTTTGTTAGGGTCTACCGTAAGCTAATAAAAAGACTCTTTCTCTGAATCCTTCTGTATCTACCAGCAGGATTCAGAAATAGTCTTACAACTAGCACATTTACAAATACATTTTCATTAAGTGGAGTGAATGAGGGGCCAAGAATTCAACTACTATTATTTCACTATTTCTTTAGGAAAATGCATTATGGAGCTTCAAATAACTTATAAGTAAAATTTGGGAAAGTTACTTATTAATAAATTGGTAAGTGTATTTAGTGTGAAAATATAAATATTTTTCTTTCTGCCTTGACCTTGTGTTATCTTTATCTGTGGTCTTCTCCAACTCTCCCATAAATTTTCAAAAATTTTTATTTATCCTTCTTTGTGTATGTGTATGTTGTTGTTGTTAAGTGCCGTCAATTCTCAGGCTACTCATAGTGACCCTATGAAGGAGAGTCCTCAACACTTGTAGTCTCTCATCCTCTCTCCAGGTTCATAGGGTTTCCGGAGGCAAGCTATTACGGAAGTGGATGCTGCTCCTGCTTCTAAGGTATGTGTATAGAGAAGCAATCAGTTCACAGACATTTATACCTTGCTAAGTAAGGATAAAAACAAAAGAAATTTCTTTAAAATTACTTTCTCCAACTGAAAGAATAAGGAGCAGTGAAACTACTTCTCTCTTTAGCTAAGTGAAGAAGAAAACTAAAAGTGAGATTGAAAATTGTTTATATGATGATGGTTTTATATCACACATGGATTATAGAGACAAATGAATGTGGGTCATACTTTCTAATATGGTTATGTGTTATTAATCTTTCCAATATAAACATAACATCTTTAAAAATAACAATGCTAGTGTTGTTGTTATTGTTGTTTTTACATGCTATTGAGTTGAGCACGACCCATAGTGACTCTGTGAACAAAAGATATGAACCCTGTTCTATCTTGCGCCATCCTCACACTTTCTGACACATAAGAGCCCATTGCACCAGTGACCGAATCAATCCACCTGGTTAAGGGTCTTCCTCTCCTTCACTGACCCTCCACACTTCCCAACATCATGTCTTTTTCCAAGGAATAGCACCTCCTAGCAACATGTCCAAAGTATGTGAAGAAAAGCCTCATCATTCTTGCCTCCAAAGAGCACTCTGGCTGCACCACCTCCAGAACATATCTGTCTGTTCTCTTGACTGTCCATGGGATGTTCAGTGCTCTTCTCCAACACCACATCTAAAAGGCGTCAATTCTTTTTCCATCATCCTTATTCATTGTCCAGATCTCAGATGCAAAGCTAGTAACTGAAAAGACCATGGCCTGAATCAGACACACTTTAGTCCTCAAACTGACATCACTGCTTCTCAGTAATTTGGAAAGATCCCTATCTGCAGATTTTCCCAGTCCAATGTGTCTCCTTATATCCTGACTGCTCATATCAAGGGCATTAATTGTGGATTCAAGCAAGAGGAAGGTGTTGACAGTCTCAATCTCTTCTCCATCCATCATAACACTACCTATCAGTCCAGTGGTAAAAATCTTTGTTTTCTAGACATTAAAATGCAGTCCATACTGAAGGCTGCATTCCTAGATCTTTTACAACAAGTCCTTCAAGCCCTCCTCACTTTCAGCAAGCAAGGCTGTGTCATCTGCATAACACAGGTTATTGATGAGTCTCCCTCCAATCCTGATGCCACACTCTTCCTCATAGAGTCCAGCTTCTCAGATAATTTGCTCAGCATACTGATTGAATAGGAATGGAGAGAGAATACAACCCTAACATAGTCCCTTCCCAATTCCAAACCATGCAGTTCTCCCCTGCTACTTTAACACAATAGTTTTCTGATCCAGGTATAAGTTCTACATTAGCACAATCAAGTGCTCTGGGATTCCCACTCTTCTTAATGTCAGCCACAGCTTGTCATGATCCACACAAATGC